TTTTTCCCAATTTTTTCCCCCCATTTTCCCCCATTTTCCCCCATTTTTTCCCCGTTTCTCACCCTCCCTTTCCCGTTTTTCCCCCCATTTTTCCCTTTTTTCCCCCCATTTTTCCCCTCTTTTTTTCCCATTTTTCCCTTTTTTTTCCCCCATTTTCCCCTCTTTTTTTCCCCATTTTTCCCTTTTTTTCCCCCCATTTTTTCCCCCATTTTTTTCCCCATTTTTTCCCCCATTTTTCCCCATTTTCCCCCATTTTCCCCATTTTTCCCCCGTTTCTCACCCTCCTTTTCCCGTTTTTCTCCCGGATTTTTGCAGCCGTGCAGGAGGAGCGGCAGCGGGGCAAGGACAAGGACGGGGACCCGGAATTTGGGATGGCTCCCAACGAGGAGATGCCGGTGGAGAAACTTCTGGAAGCCGAATTGGCCGTGGAGCCCAAAAGCGACGACGGCGCCGGGCCCGGGGGAGCTTCCGTGAGTGGAAATTCGGGAATTTCCTGGAATTTTCTGGAATTTTGGGGGATTTTTTTAGGAATTTTTAGGAATTTTGTGGAATTTTGGGGGATTTTTTTAGGATTTTTTTGGAATTTTTAGGAATTTTAAGGGATTTTTTTAGGAATTTTTAGGAATTTTTAGGAATTTTCTGGAATTTTGGGGGATTTTTTAAGGAATTTTTAGGAATTTTTAGGAATTTTCTGGGATTTTGGGGGATTTTTTTAGGAATTTCCTGGAATTTTCTGGAATTTTGCGGGATTTTTTAAGGAATTTTTAGGAATTTTCTGGAATTTTGGGGGATTTTTTTAGGAATTTTCTGGAATTTTGGGGGATTTTTTTAGGAATTTTTAGGAATTTTGGGGGATTTTTTTAGAAATTTTTAGGAATTTTTAGGAATTTTCTGGAGCTTTTAGGATTTTTTTGGGAATTTTTTGGGGATTTTGGGGGATTTTTTTTAGGAATTTTTAGGAATTTTCTGGAATTTTGAGGGATTTTTTTAGGAATTTTTAGGAATTTTCTGGGATTTTGGGGGATTTTTTTAGGAATTTTTAGGAATTTTTTGGGGATTTTGGGGGATTTTTTTAGGAATTTTTAGGAATTTTTTTGGATTTTCTGGAATTTTGGGGGATTTTTTTAGGAATTTTTAGGAATTTTTTTTTGGAATTTTGGGGGATTTTTTTAGGAATTTTCTGGAATTTTGGGGGATTTTTTTAGGAATTTTTAGGAATTTTGGGGGATTTTTTTAGGAATTTTTAGGAATTTTTAGGAATTTTCTGGAATTTTGGGGGATTTTTTTAGGAATTTTTAGGAATTTTTTGGGGATTTTTGGGGATTTTTTTAGGAATTTTTAGGATTTTTTTTTTGGAATTTGGGGGGATTTTTTTAGGAATTTTTAGGTTTTTTTTTTTGGAATTTGGGGGGATTTTTTTAGGAATTTTTAGGAATTTTCTGGAATTTGGGGGGATTTTTTTAGGAATTTTCTGGGATTTGGGGGGCTTTTTTAAGGAATTTTTAGGAATTTTTAGGATTTTTTTAGGAATTTTTTGGAATTTTCTGGAATTTTGGGGGATTTTTAAAAAAATTTTCTGGAATTTTGGGGGATTTTTTTAGGAATTTTTAGGAATTTTGGGGGATTTTTTTAGGAATTTTTAGGAATTTTTTTGGGATTTTGGGGGATTTTTTTTAGGAATTTTCTGGGATTTTGGGGTATTTTTTTAGGAATTTTTAGGAATTTTTAGGAATTTTGGGGGATTTTTTTAGGAATTTTTAGGAATTTTTAGGAATTTTCTGGAATTTTGGGGGATTTTTTAAGGAATTTTTAGGAATTTTTTTGGATTTTCTGGAATTTTGGGGGATTTTTTTAGGAATTTTTAGGAATTTTTAGGAATTTTCTGGAATTTTGGGGGATTTTTTTAGGAATTTTTAGGAATTTTTTTGGGATTTTGGGGGATTTTTTTAGGAATTTTTTTTCAATTTTCTGGAATTTTTGGGGGATTTAGGAATTTTTTGGAATTTTTAGGAATTTTGGGGGATTTTTTTAGGAATTTTCTGGGATTTTGGGGGATTTTTTTAGGAATTTTTAGGAATTTTTTTTTTTAATTTTGGGGGATTTTTTTAGGAATTTTCAGGAATTTTCTGGAATTTTGGGGGATTTTTTAGGAATTTTTGGGGGAATTTTTTTTTTAATTTTTGGGAAATTTTGGGATTTTTTTTTAATTTTGGGGAATTTTTGGGGGAATTTTGGGGGGGATTTTGGGGGGATTTTTGGGGGACTTTTAGAATTTTTTAGGAATTTGGGGGGATTTTTTTTGGAATTTTGGGGGATTTTTTAGAAAATTTTTTGGAATTTTTGGGGATTTTTGTCAGGAATTTTTTGGGATCTTTTAGGATTTTTATTTTTTTTCATTTTTAGGAATTTTTAGGATTTTTTTCTGAATTTTTAGGGATTTTTGGGGGATTTTTGGGGGTGTTTTAGAATTTTTTTGGAATTTTTGGGGATTTTTTTTTTAATTTTGGGTGATTTTGGGGGGAATTTTTTTTGGAATTTGGGGATTTTTTTTTTAATTTGGAGGATTTTTTAGAAATTATTTTGGAATTTTGGGGGATTTTTTTCAGGAATTTTTTGGGATCTAGTAGTATTTTTATTTTTTTTAATTTTTTTTTAATTTTTAGGGTTTTTTTCTGAATTTTGGGGAATTTTTGGGGGACTTTTTGGGGATCTTTTAGAATTTTTTAGGAATTTTTTTTGAATATTTGAGGATTTTTTTTTTTTTTAATTTTGGGGGAATTTTGGGGAAGTTTTGGGATTTTTTTCTGATTTTTTTTGGAATTTTTGGGGATTTTTTAGGATTTTTTTTTTTAAATTTTTGGGGATTTTTTTGGGGGGATTTTTGGGGAATCTTTTAGGATTTTTTTTGGAATTTTTCGGAAATTTTGGGATTTTTGGGGTATTTTTTGGGGGATCTTTTAGGATTTTTTTGGAATTTTTATGGAATTTTTGGGGAATTTTTGGGGAAATTTTTCTAGACATTTTGGGATTTTTTCTGAATTTTTGGGGGATTTTTTGGGAATTTTTGGGGGATTTTTTTGGGATCGTTTAGGATTTTTTTTGGAATTTTTGGGAATTTGGGGGAATTTTTCTGATTTTTTCTGATTTTTTGGGGAGTTTTTTGGGAATTTGGAGAATTTTGGGGGGAATTTTTTGAGGTTATTTTTTCCAATTCCCGTCCAATTTCCACCAAGTTTTTTCCAAGATTTTTCCTTGAGAATTCCGGGATGGGTTTGGGAATTCTGGGAATATCAGGAGAAGTCTCAATTTCCCCCAAAATCCTCCAGGAATGCTCCCAAAATTTGGGGTTTACCCCCTTTCCCACCCCGATTTTTCCCCATTTTTGCTCTGAATTTCCCCATTTTGGTGCTGATTTTGGTCAGGACTTTTCCAGGATTTTTCCTTCAGAATTCTGGGATGGGTTTGGGAATTCCGGGAATATCAGGAGAAGTCTCAATTTCCCCCAAAATCCTCCAGGAATGCTCCCAAAATTCGGGATTTCCCCCCTTTCCCACCCCGATCTTTCCCATTTTTGCTCTGAATTTCCCCATTTCCCACCCCGCTTTCCCCCATTTCCTGTCCGATTTCCGCCGGGTTTTTTCCAGGATTTTTCCTTGGGAATTCCGGGATGGGTTTGGGAATTCCGGGAATATCAGGATCTAACTCAATTTCCCCCAAAATCCTCCAGGAATGCTCCCAAAATTCGGGATTTCCCCCCTTTCCCACCCCGATTTTTCCCATTTTTGCTCTGAATTTCCCCATTTTGGTGCTGATTTTGGTCAGGATTTTTCCAGGATTTTTCCTTGAGAATTCCGGGATGGGTTTGGGAATTCTGGGAATATCAGGAGAAGTCTCAATTTCCCCCAAAATCCTCCAGGAAGGCTCCCAAAATTTGGGATTTCCCCCCTTTCCCACCCCGATTTTTCCCCATTTTCCAGTGAGTTTCCCCATTTTGGTGCCAATTTCCACCCTGTTTTTTCCAGAATTTTCGCTTGGGAATTCCGGGATGGGTTTTGGAATTCCGGGAATATCAGGATCTATCTCAATTTTCCCCAAAATTCTTCAGGAATGCTCCCAAAATTTGGGGTTTACCCCTTTTCCCACCCCGATTTTTCCCCATTTTCCGGTTGAGTTTCCCCATTTCCCATCCGATTTCCACCGGGTTTTTTCCAAGATTTTTCCTTGAGAATTCCGGGATGGGTTTCGGAATTCCGGGAATATCAGGAGAGGTTTCAATGTCCCCCAAAATTCTTCAGGAAGGCTCCCAAAATTCGGGATTTACCCCCTTTCCCACCCCGATTTTTCCCCGTTTTCCGGTTGAGTTTCCCCAATTTGGTGCCAATTTCCACCAGGTTTTTTCCAGGATTTTCGCTTGGGAATTCCGGGATGGGTTTGGGAATTCTGGGAATGTCAGGAGAAGTCTCAATTTCCCCCAAAATCCTCCAGGAATGCTTCCAAAATTTGGGTTTTCCCCTCATTCCCACCCCGATTTTTCCCATTTTTGCGCTGAATTTCCCCATTTCCCACCCCGCTTTCCCCCATTTCCCGTCCGATTTCCGCCGGGTTTTTTCCAGGATTTTTCCCTTGGGAATTCCGGGATGGGTTTGGGAATTCCGGGAATGTTGGGGGGGGTCTCAATTTGCCCCGAAATCGCCCCAAATTCAGCCCAATGACCCGGTGACCAACATCTGCCAGGCGGCCGACAAGCAGCTCTTCACCCTCGTCGAGTGGGCCAAGAGGGTCCCCCACTTCTCGGGGCTCCCCTTGGACGACCAGGTCATCCTGCTCCGGGCAGGTCAGGAGGAATTCCGGGAATTTCGGGGAGTTTGGGAATTTTGGGGGAATTTTTGGGAATTTTTGGGGATTTTTGGGATTTTTGGGGGGATTTTTAGGGGGTTTGGGGTGGTTATAATGGAATTTTAAGGGGTTATAATGGGAATTTTTTGGGAATTTTGGGGAGGATTTTGGGAATTTTGGGGGAATTTGGGAATTCTGGGAGAATTTGGGGAATTTTGGGAATTTTTTGGGATTTTTGGGGGGGATTTTTAGGGGTTTTGGGGTGGTTATAATGGGATTTTAAGGGGTTATAATGGGAATTTTCGGGGGGTTTGGGGGTGAGTTTGGGAATTTTGGGGGAATTTGGGAATTCTTGGGAATTTTGGGAATTTTTGGGAATTTTTTGGGATTTTTTTTTTATTTTTTTGGATTTTTTGGGGGATTTTTCGGGGTTTTGGGGTGGTTATAATGGGATTTTAAGGGGTTATAATGGTAATTTTTGGGGAGTTTTGGGGTGAGTTTGGGAATTTTTGGGAATTTTGGGAATTTGGGAATTTTGGGGGAATTTTTGGGAATTTTTGGGGGATTTTTTTGGATTTTGGGGGGATTTTTAGGGGTTTTGGGGTGGTTATAATGGGATTTTAAGGGGTTATAATGGGAATTTTTGGGGGGTTTTGGGGTGAGTTTGGGAATTTTGGGGAGGAATTCCGGGAATTTCGGGGAGTTTGGGAATTCTTGGGGGAATTTCTGGGAATTTTTGGGGATTTTTTGGGAATTTTTGGGGGATTTTTTTGGGTTTTGGGGTGGTTATAATGGGATTTTAAGGGGTTATAATGGGAATTTTTGGGGGGTTTTGGGGTGAGTTTGGGAATTTCGGGGAGGAATTCCGGGAATTTTGGGGAGTTTGGGAATTTTGGGGAATTTTTGGGAATTTTTGGGGGATTTTTTTGGATTTTGGGGGGATTTTTAGGGATTTTGGGGTGGTTATAATGGGATTTTAAGGGGTTATAATGGGAATTTTTGGGGAATTTTTTGGGAATTTTTTTTGAATTTTGGGAATCTTTGGGAATTTTGGGAATCTGGGAATTTTGGGGATTTTTTGGGGATTTTTTGGGGCATTTTTAGGGGTTTTAGGGTGGTTATAATGGGATTTTAATGGGTTATAATGGGAATTTTCTGGGGGTTTTGGGGTGAGTTTGGGAATTTTGGGGAGGAATTCCGGGAATTTCGGGGAGTTTGGGAATTTTTGGGAATTTTTGGGAATTTTTGGGGATTTTTGGGATTTTTGGGGGGATTTTTAGGGGGTTTGGGGTGGTTATAATGGGATTTTAAGGGGTTATAATGGGAATTTTCGGGGGGTTTTGGGGTGAGTTTGGGAATTTTGGGGCGGATTTTGGGAATTTTGGGGGAATTTTGGGAATTTTGGGGGAATTTTGGGAATTTTGGGAATTTTTTGGGATTTTTGGGGGGATTTTTAGGGGTTTTGGGGTGGTTATAATGGGATTTTAATGGGTTATAATTGGAATTTTTAAGGAATTTTGGGGAGGATTTTGGGAATTTTGGGAGAATTTTGGGAATTTTTGGGATTTTTTGGGAATTTTTGGGATTTTTTGGGATTTTTGGGGGGATTTTTTTGGGTTTTGGGGTGGTTATAATGGGATTTTAATGGGTTATAATGGGAATTTTTGGGGGGTTTTGGGGTGAGTTTGGGAATTTTGGGGAGGATTTGGGGAATTCTTGGGAATTTTGGGAATTCTGGGATTCTTTGGGAATTTTTTGGGAATTTTTGGGATTTTTTGGGGGATTTTTTGGATTTTTTGGGGGGATTTTTCGGGGTTTTGGGGTGGTTATAATGGGATTTTAAGGGGGTATAATGGGAATTTTTTGGGAATTTTTTGGGAATTTTGGGAATCTGGGAATTTGGGGAATTTTGGGGATTTTTTTGGGATTTTTTGGGATTTTTTGGGGGATTTTTTGGGTGTTTGGGGTGGTTATAATGGGATTTTAATGGGTTATAATGGGAATTTTTGGGGGGTTTTGGGGTGAGTTTGGGAATTTCGGGGAGGAATTCCGGGAATTTTGGGGAGTTTGGGAATTTTTGGGGAATTTTTGGGATTTTTTGGGATTTTTTTGGGATTTTTTGGGATTTTTTGGGGGGATTTTTAGGGGTTTTGGGGTGGTTATAATGGGATTTTAGGGGGTTATAATGGGAATTTTGGGGGGGTTTTGGGGAGGATTTTGGGAATTTTGGGGGAATTTTGGGAATTTTGGGGAGGATTTGGGGAATTTTTGGGAATTTCGGGAATCTTTGGGATTTTTTGGGGATTTTTTGGGATTTTTGGGGGGATTTTTAGGGGTTTTGGGGTGGTTATAATGGGATTTTAAGGGGTTATAATGGGAATTTCCTGGGGATTTTGGGGTGAGTTTGGGAATTTTGGGGTAAGTTTGGGAATTTTGGGGAGGATTTGGGGAATTCTTGGGAATTTTGGGAATTTTTGGGAATTTTTGGGATTTTTTTGGGATTTTTTGGGAATTTTTGGGGGGATTTTTCGGGGTTTTGTGGTGGTTACAATGGGATTTTAAGGGGTTATAATGGGAATTTTCTGGGGGGTTTGGGGTGAGTTTGGGAATTTTGGGGGAATTTTGGGAATTCTTGGGAATTTTGGGAATTTTTGGGATTTTTAGGGATTTTTTTGGGATTTTTTGGGGGATTTTTAGGGGTTTTGGGGTGGTTATAATGGGATTTTAAGGGGTTATAATGGGAATTTTTGGGGGGTTTTGGGGTGAGTTTGGGAATTTTGGGGAGGATTTGGGGAATTCTTGGGAATTTTGGGAATTCTGGGATTCTTTGGGAATTTTTTGGGATTTTTTGGGAATTTTTTGGGGATTTTTTGGGATTTTTTGGGATTTTTGGGGGCATTTTTAGGGGTTTTAGGGTGGTTATAAAGGGATTTTAAGGGGTTATAATGGGAATTTTTGGGGGGTTTTGGGGTGAGTTTGGGAATTTTGGGGAGGATTTGGGGAATTCTTGGGAATTTTGGGAATTCTGGGATTCTTTGGGAATTTTTGGGGAATTTTTGGGGATTTTTTGGGAATTTTTTGGGATTTTTTGGGGGGATTTTTAGGGGTTTTGGGGTGGTTATAATGGGATTTTAAGGGGGTTATAATGGGAATTTTTTGGGAATTTTGGGGCGGATTTTGGGAATTTTGGGGGAATTTTGGGAATTTTGGGAGTTTTGGGAATTTTGGGGGGATTTGGGGAATTTTTGGGAATTTTTAGGATTTTTTGGGGATTTTTTGAGGGATTTTTAGGGGTTTTGGGGTGGTTATAAAGGAATTTTAAGGGGTTATAATGGGAATTTTTGGGGGATTTTTTGGGAATTTTTTGGGAATTTTGGGAATCTTTGGGAATTTTGGGAATCTGGGAATTTTTGGGGAATTTTTGGGAATTTTTGGGAATTTTTGGGGGCATTTTTAGGGGGTTTGGGGTGGTTATAATGGGATTTTAAGGGGGTATAATGGGAATTTTTTGGGAAATTTGGGGCGGATTTTGGGAATTTTGGGAATTTTTTGGGATTTTTGGGGGGAATTTGGGAATTCTGGGGAAAATTTTGGGAATTTTTGGAGATTTTGGGAATTTTTGAGGGGGATTTGAGAATTTTGGGGGGGAATTTCTCTGCAGATTTCCAATCTCTCCAACTTCCAAAATTCCCAAAAAAACCCCAAAATTCCCAAAAAAACCCAAAATTCCCAAAAAACCCAAAAATTCCCAAAAAATTCCCGACTGGAATTAATTTTTCATCCATTCCAACCCCAAAAAATTCAATTTTTTTCCCATTTTTTGGCCGTTTTTCCTCAAAATTTTTTGGGATTTTTTCCCAATTTTTTGGGTTTTTTATATAAATTTGATTTCTCTTTCCCAAAATCCCAAAAATCCCCCAAAATTCCTGAATTTCCAGACTGGAACGAGGTTTTTTTGTCTTTTCTCACCCAAAAAATTCAATTTTTTTCCCATTTTTTGGCCGTTTTTCCTCAAAATTTCACCGGATTTTCTCCCAATTTTTTGGGTTTTTATATAAATTCTATTTCTCCATCCCAAAATCCCAAAAATTCCCCAAAATTCCCGAATTTCCAGGCTGGAACGAGGTTTTTTGTCCTCTCCCACCCCAAAAAATTCAATTTTTTTCCCATTTTTTGGCCATTTTTCCTCAAAATTTCACCGGATTTTCTCCCAATTTTTTGGGTTTTTATATAAATTTTATTTCTCTTTCCCAAAATCCCAAAAATTCCCAAAAAATTCCCAAAAAATTCCAGGCTGGAACCAACTTTTCATCCTTTCCCACCCCAAAAAATTCAATTTTTTTGTCTTTTTTTTCCATTTTTCATCAAAATTTTTTGGGATTTTTTCCCAAATTTTGGGGTTTTTATATAAATTTTATTTCTCTTTCCCAAAATCCCAAAAATCCCAAAAAAATTCCCAAAAAATTCCCAAAAAATTCCTTTTCCCACCCCAAAAAATTCAATTTTTTTCCCATTTTTTGGCCGTTTTTCCTCAAAATTTTTTGGGATTTTTTCCCAAATTTTGGGTTTTTATATAAATTTGATTTCTCCTTCCCAAAATCCCAAAAAAACCCCAAAATTCCCGAATTTCCAGACTGGAACGAGGTTTTTTTGTCTTTTCTCACCCAAAAAAATTCAATTTTTTTCCCATTTTTTGGCCGTTTTTCCTCAAAATTTCACCAGATTTTCTCCCAAATTTTTGGGTTTTTATATAAATTTGATTTCTCCTTCCCAAAATCCCAAAAATTCCCAAAAATTCCCAAAAAATTCCAGACTGGAACGAGGTTTTTTTGTCTTTTCTCACCCAAAAAATTCAATTTTTTTCCCATTTTTTGGCCGTTTTTCCTCAAAATTTTTTGGGATTTTTTCCCAAATT